AAAAACAAATAACTCAAGTAATAAATGTAAAAGGAAACAATGAGGAAAGTGTGCACACTGTGCTAGAACTTGTCAAGCAAGAAGCAAAACCTAGGAATCTGCCCCACACCTTTTGCAGAGGCATATCTACTCTGGAAAACAAGTAACATTTTAAGACCAAAGCAACATATTATAGTACCAGTAAATTTAGTGGAATACAAAGTTAAAAAAAAAAAATCAAAAAGGTACTTACAGGAATTGCTCTGGAACCAAAATGACTGACAAAGGACAGTCAGGAAAATACCCCAAGGTGAGGGAACCATGTGGTAAGTGCTATGTAAGGGAAAAGTTCAGAGTTCATGTAATCACATAGTGATATGCCCATGTAAAGAGTTCCAGAAAAGGTTACATGACCTACATGTTGTGATTTGAATGAGAAGGTAGGAGTATTGGACAGTGTTCACAAAATATCCAAAGGCAAAAAACATGCAAAAATGTCAAAAGATAAAGTTGAAGAGGTAAGCAGTATCAAGATCATGGAGGGTCTTAAATGACCATGAGTTTGAACTTTATCTTGTGGGCAGCAAACAGAGCACCACTTAATGATTTTAAGCATGGGGTAGTCAGGATTTATTCTGGTAGTGACAAAATAGATAAGAGAAAGACAATTAGGGGAGCAGTTATTTAGTTGAGAAATAATGACAGTGGGAAGGTAGTAGTGAGACCTAAGAATTTTCTGGATGTTTTCTGAACTGGATGTGGAAACATGCAAGGAGCAGAAAAAATGATATCCAAGTCTTTGGTTTGGGAAACTAGTTAGATGAGGCACACTGATAGGGCTATTATCAGGGAAAAAAAACAACAACAACAACAAAAAACAGGAGCCCAGATGTGATATATCAGTGAAGTAATGAAGTGAAAATTCCCCTTAAATGTGCACCTCTTAAGAGGTCGAGGCTACAGACAAGAAATTAGGGAGCTATCAGTATAGGAGATAAATAAAGCTCCTGTAGAGCAAGCAAACATCCAATGAAGGTATGAAAGGAAAGAATGCTTACGACAGAACCATGAAGATCACCAAAAGGGAGAGGCAGAGAAAAGAGCTTGGAAAGGAGACTGAACCACCAGCAAAGGTGGGATCAAGAAATTCTTAAAAAGCAGAGAAAATCAGAATACAGTAATCAGAAGCCACAGGAAGTCATGAAATTAAGAGAAGACTGTGAAGTATTTCCAGGGATCAAATGAGATAAAGACTGAAAGGTGTTCATTAGATTTAGTTACATAGGAATGTCACTGGTGACCTTGATTTTTAAAAAATGACTAGAAACTCATTTGAGGAGAGAATTACTTCATTTCAAAGCTGACTGAAAACAGCAGGTTACCCCTAATTAAAATGTTTAGGTACATCTCTCCCTTCCCATTCTAGGGTGCTTGGATTAGTGATTCCTAACCATTTCATATGGGATGATTCCTGTGTAACATTAAAAAACCTGAATACCAGAATAACTATTTTTTATCATCAGATTAAAAAAACAACAGGATAAAAAGCTATTATACAGTCAATGAAGTTTTAAATAAATGCGCATTTCAAAAAAATCCCTAGTTTGAAAAAAGAAATGCCTAAGACCTCAACCCGTCCCGCCAGAATACCATTACTTGGGGTGTGGGTGAGGTGGTCCCTTGTGATGACAACTCAGACCCAGAGGCCAAGAAGCCCTATGGATAAAATGATCTTAAAAGAATCTTTCCAACTTTGGAAATCTGTAATTCTTCAAGCTTTTTTTTTTTTTTAATTACTGAAACAAAACGGCACATCATTGTGGGTTTTTCAATGGCTCAAAATGGAACATGATTTAATACTTAAGTACCTCAATCTCAGATGCTATCAACTGCAATCAGATGCCTTCCCCGTTAAACAGAAATATGAATTTCTGCTTTTGCTTTCCAGTGTTTATTCCAGAAAAAAAGATAGTTGGATACAGTCTACATTGCACACGAAAATCTCAAGCCAGATAATTTTATTGGTTCATTTTATATGAGGCAAATGTAGGCCAAGAGACAAAAACCACTGAATTTTATTCACTGAACCCTGAACAATGTTTGTCCATTCCTTCATCCCTTAAAAATTACAGCTATTGCTCAGGTGGACAAAGAACAGCTAGGGCATCAGGGTTCTGCTAGTTTTTCCATCAGTTGAAACAAATGATCTCCTTATTACTAAGGTTGCCCACTGAAAGGTGCTATTCAAGTATAAAGCAATTTCTCCAACCTCAGATAATAAATTATAACTGGTGATCAGTTATAAACAGATGGTACATCTGATGGTATATCTAATGATAACTTTAAGGACCAGACTATAAAGAAGACAAAAAATAGTCTTTCAGTATTTACTGACCATCAGTTGAAACATAAATTTCCTTGAGAGAAATGGCAAAGACACTCTTACTGTTGCTTTACTGAAGCAAGAATATAAGCTCACAAATTCCTTAAGGTGAACAACCCTATGTGTAAGTTTTTGCGCAGTTTTATTTTGGGCCAAAAATAATAAATCATTTTAAAGCAGTTCAAGTTACACAAGTCAATTTTAAAATCTAATTTTTAACATCAACAACTTAAAATTGTTCTGATAATACAAAACACCCCTAAATTCAAAAACCGTATCACTTTTGACCCAGGCAATGCTGAAAAACTAAAAATGGGATTTAAGAAAAATCTAAAATCTGAAAGACAGTTTGCTAAATTCTATACCAATGATATACTCAATTCAAATACCAAATGGGTGAGATGGGGTAGTATCTGAAACTGCAGGAAAACAAAAGTCAGTTTCATATATAAAAATTCTTTTTATTTTTAGTGATCATAGAACTAAAGGCTTTCATAGATTTCTCGTTCATTGACTATTCTCCTGGGATTAAAATTAAAGTAATCGATGAAACAGGAAATCACCACAGAATTTCAGACATAGGAAAATGACAAAAGGGAGAATTCAAAGAATCCCCGATTACCGCTCTCATTAGCAGCATTCAGAAACACCAAATTCAAAGGCTGGAAAACACATAAAAGACCTAAATTACTGTAAAGCTCTTAGAGCCTGGGGAGGACCCCAAGACCAGACAGACAAAGTGACTTTCCCAAGGTAACTAAGCAGGGGAGCCCCCACAAAGCGCCCACCTCCTGGGCTCACAGCCCCTGGGCTCTTCCAGCACACCACACTGCGTCTGTTCTACACTCAAAAGGGGGGGGGGGCAAGGTCTTGCCCTCCCCTTACCAACACTGCCCGGCTCTCTCCTAGCCTGGCCACATTACGGCGATTCACTTCTACGTCAAAACTTCCTTTAAGGGGATCCCTGGGTGGCGCAGCGGTTTGGCGCCTGCCTTTGGCCCAGGGCGCGATCCTGGAGACCCGGGATCGAATCCCCTATCAGGCTCCCGGTGCATGGAGCCTGCTTCTCCCTCTGCCTGTGTCTCTGCCCCTCTCTCTCTCTCTCCTCTCTGTGACTATCATAAATAAATAAATTCAAAAAAAAAATTTTAAAAAAAAAAAAATTAAAAAAAAAAACTTCCTTTAAAGCTAGTCTGACTACTCGGTAAAATCACGTCTTTAACCCGAAGGACACAACGTGGAAATGACTTGCAAAGGTACAGGACTGGGAGTTATCTGGCCAAAGGTTTCTCTGAGCTCTGATTTACTGTAAACCAGCGCCCTACAATCCGAGGGGCAGATAGGACCCTGCACCGCACCCCGCCCGGGGCTGTCGGGCGCCGCCAGGCCGAGTCCCCACAGCTGTCAGATACCAAAAGGATTTCACAGTCGGTTCCACAAAACCGTTCAAAGCGGTTCCCCAGACACTCTTGGGGCTTGGCCTAAGATCAAAGGATCCTTATCAGGCGTGTCAGGCTCGAGCACATAAATTCTCAGGTTAGATTAAAAAAAAAAAGAAAGAAAGAAAAACGAATTCATACTTCTACCCCAAAAGAGTTCGAGAATTCAGTCCCGCAGATTTAAAAAAAAAAAAAAAAAAAGCGAAGGCTCCGCAACGCCGAACCGTTTCAGTCCGCAGACCAGCAGTCGCTGTATTTACCTGTCCCCTACCCCGCGAGACTTCAGGTAAGCGGGGGTGGCTGCTCCTTAAAAGGTCAGGCTCCAGGCCTTGGAAATCAGCGCGGCAAGTCCTGATCAACCACAACTTGGCTCCTGACTCACTAGTTAAACAAAACCTTCGCATGTGCAAATGTCCCCCGTACCCCAAACGCCAGAGATAAATGCTGTGTCACTGAGAAAAAAAAAAAAAAAATAAAAAAAAACAAAAACCACCAAGTATTTGCCCGCACGTGCCCAAGGCGGCCGCCACCTCGCGCCCTCGGGCTCCCCCGAGCCCCCGCGCGGCCAGGCGGCTGCGTCGCACGGGAAGCCCCCGCCCGCGGGCCCGCAGGCACACCCGCAGGCACACCCGCGCCCGCCGAGGTCGCCCGCCGAGGTCGCCCGCCGAAGCCCGCGGCTGCCGCTCACCATTTCCAGGTGAGCGCCGGGGCCCTCGGGATGTCCGCTGCCCGGGGCCGGGCTGGCCCTGCCCTCCGGGGTCTTCCGTTCGCTGTTGCGCTTCAAGCCGCCGGCGTCGCCGCGGCCCCCGGCCTCCCGCCGCCGCCTCTGCCGGCTCCACAGGTACATGGCACCTGCGCCCAGCAGCAGGGGCGCCCCGACCGCCAGCGCCAGCTGCCATCGCGGCAGGCCCCCAGCACCCGCGCCCGCGGTCGCGCCGCCGCCACCCACCGCGCTCCCGGAGCTGGGCGCAGCCGCGGCGACCACCGCCGCCTCCACAGGCTTAGAGGCGGCCATGGCGGGTGTCCTCCGCCACCGCCTCCCCGCTGCTCGCCGGCGCCTGGGCCACCAGGCAGCGTGCGAAGGAGGACCGGAGCGGGGAAGGCAGGCAGCGAGCGAGCGAGCGAGCACGCCAGGCAGCGGGAGCGGACGACAGAAAAGGGCCAGAGGTCACCGGAAGCCCAGGGCATGCCGGGCCAGACCCGGCCGTCCTTTTCCTCCCTTTTCAACTGTGGGCGGGGAGGGGCGGGGGCGGGGGCGGGGGCGGGGAGGAGGGGGATTACTTCCGGGTCAGGGGGCCGGGGCGGGCCCGGGGCGGGCCCGGGGCGTCGAGAGCGGCCCTCTGTACTTCGCTCCGGTGCTGTGCGGGACAGTCGCTCCTGGGCTCTCGGGCCTCCCGCGGTGGCGGGTGTCACTCCCTCCGCCCTCAGCGGCCTGCTTATCTCGGGGAGCGGCGGAGGGGCGCGTACCGTGCGCAGGCGAGCGCGGGGGGCGCTGCGGCCGCCCTGGGAATGGGCGGGAGCGGCGGAGGGGCTCCGGGTGCTATTGGCTGGCAGGAGCGGTGGGCGGGGCGTAGCCCGAGCCGCCCCGTTTATTGGTGGAATTTGGGCTCGGTTTTCCCGTTACCGCCACGTAGGCGCTTCTTGGAGCCTCGGGGCCAGTAGTTTGGTCGTCCGTCTGCAGACCGGGGCAGCCTACGGGGTGGAAGGGCCAAAGCCAGAGACTGCCTGATTCCCGTCTCTCTACCGTGGCCAGGTTTTAGTTTGGAGGAATTCGGTATGTGGGGGTGGGGGTGGGGGTGGGGGTGGGGCAACAGCAGGTAGCAGAAATCAGACTGGGTGCCCTCGGGCAGATCCAGATTGTTCCGCCGAAACGGCCTGAGCGGAGTCCCTGCGGTTCGCCGTCTGCACCGGTTACGAAAGCGATGACGTCTGCGTGCTGCTAACGAAGTTCGTGGACGGAGCGGGTAGGAATGCGAAGACCCGGAGTGCCTACGTGCCTGCAGCCTTCTTACACGAATCTGTGCCCCGTGGTGGATTTCTCCTGCCGTCTCAGCCCACGTCGCGGTCTCTGGAGCTCCCGCGCCCCCCGCGGTGCTCGGTCCGCCCCCTGCTTTGCGAGTTTTGCGCTAGCGCTCTCAGCCGCCTTGCCTCGCCCCTAAACCGAAGTTTCAGTTCCTAGCTTCCATATCTCGAATAGCTTTGTGCAATCCTTTCCCCATCCCCTGCACCCCTTTCCCCATCTTAAAATGCAAGAATTTACCTTGCGAGGGATTGTTCGGAATTCATAGTATTGTCAGTAAGAAAAGTATTTAGTAGAGAATGAATCCGCAGCTGTGGCTCCCCATTTCAAGCGTACTGGTCTGCAGCCCCTTACATTAACATCTTACAAAGGATCATTTTGCTTTCGGGGCATAACAGGATTTTCAACATCACAATAGAGCTGCATAAAGATTGAAAGATAATGTATTAAGTGGCACCAAAATAGACGGATTAAATTAGAATGGCCTAATTTGAAGGTTTTAGGACCATTGCTCTTCTGCCTCGTGTAGGCTCCTATTAGAAAATTGCTTCCAGGCAATAGGGTTCCTCAGCAACACACTATAAAGATGAGCTAAAAGTAATAGCAACAGAATTGAGTTGATCAAACAGTGATTGTTGCAGGCAATCATCTATTCTTCCTTCCTGATTCCCAGCCCCCAAAGGAAAATCTTCTGTCTCTTAATATAATTCTCCCTTGACATTTCAGAATAGAGTTAGGGTTTTTCTTCACTGATATTTCCATTTCTTCTGTAGCCTCAGGGGAATGTAGAATGCTGGTAGTTACTGTTGGTAGGAACTCAGTCGTTTGAAGTTGTTTTATTTTTTTTTTGTTACTGTTATCAGAATATGTAACATTGTTATGGTTGCAAAGAGTTTACTGTGAGAAGGCATCCTGCCCCTAGCCACCCAGTTCCCCTCTCAAAAGGTGATCAATGTTAGAGTTTCTTGAAACACTTCAATTAATATTTATCTAAAGGGCTGCTTTTGTTGATTTTTTTTTAAAAGATTGTATTTATCAGAGAGAGCGTAAGGTGGGGGAGCAGTAGAGGGAGAAAAAGAAGCAGACGCCCCTCTGAGCAGGGAGCCTGATGTGGGGACTTGATCTCAGATGGAGAGATCATGACCTGAGCCAAAGGCAGAGGCTTGATGGACTGAGCCACCCAGGCACCCCTTGTTGGTTTTATTTTTAAGATCGGCATCAGTAAATCAATTTGTTCTTGTTACTTTTGTGCTTTAACATATCATTTTCATTCCCTAGCCTCCTCATTTCTTTTCTCTCATTCTCTCCATCACTTCCTAATTGATAATAGTGTAGAATTGAGTAAGAATGTCATTAGTTCAATGATTTACTGACCTGATGCATACATTTCTGACCTGTCAAATAGTGAAAACACACCTCTCACACCTATACATGAGAGATATGATTAGATAATATTTAATTTCTTTTTAGTGTATTGTTCGTTACAAAATAGCAAACATTCACTGCTTAGTTTTCTGTTCATCTACATTTTAAAGGAGAGAAGTAGAATTGTCTCTAAAAAAATTGAAGTTAGGTATATGTTAACGCAGACATTTTCTTTTTCTTGCTAGATTAATGGAATTCAATAGAAGATTTCTTCACCTCTTCTCTGATCTATCTTGAGAGTCAGTTGAAATGAGTTTGAACATCTAATGGACTGGGATGCAAGAGACCTGAATTCTTATTCTAGATTTTAATACTAATGAGCTGTGTGTGTGACTGTGGGCACCAATGTGACCAGTGGATTCGATGATTCCTAAGTCTCCTCTTAGCTTTAAAATCATATGATTCTGGGATCCCTGGGTGGCGCAGCGGTTTGGCGCCTGCCTTTGGCCCAGGGCGCGATCCTGGAGACCCGGAATCGAATCCCACGTCGGGCTCCCGGTGCATGGAACCTGCTTCTCCCTCTACCTATGTCTCTGCCTCTCTCTTTCTCTGTGTGTGACTATCATAAATAAAAAAAAATTTTTAAAAGAAGAATTAAAAAAATTTTAAAAAATCATATGATTCTACCCCCTCAATTGTCATTGCTACATGAAAGACTTCCTTATTGGTGGAGTTGGGAGATACCTGCTTGATTGGTGTTCAAGCCTTACAGTGAGTCCACAGACATACTTACATTAAGCCCATACATTCACAGTTGGATTCTCTTTAAACTTTTCCTTAGATTTCCATTCTGTTTTACTTCACTGAAAAATTACTGGAAAGAATTGTTTAAGCCTATTATCTCTGCTTATTTATCATCTATTTCATCTAAAATCTATTGTAATCTGCTTTCTAACTGTATTACTAGTCTGAAACTACTTTAAAGGTCACCTAATTCATTGTTTGGTTTTGGCCTTCATATGCTTTTACTGAAACATTTGATGCCATTGGTCATTCCCTTCTTGAAACATTGGTTTCCCCGGCTTTCAGGAGACTAAATTCTCCTGATTCTTCTAATCTCTGACCAATTTCTAGATAAATGCTGTCCAACAGAACCTTCTGTGGGGACACCTTGGTGGCTCAGCAGTTGAGCATCTGCCTTTGACTCAGGTCGTGATCATGGGGTCCTGGGATTGAGTCCCACATGAGGATCCCCTCAGGGATCCTGCTTCTCCCTCTGCCTTGTCTCTGCCTCTCTGTCTCTCTGTGTCTCTCATGAATAAGTAAATAAAATCTTTTTTAAGAAAGAACTTTCTGTGATGTTGGAAGTGTTTTATATATCTGTGACATCCAATGTGATTGGTATCTATTGATATCCAATAGCAACCTGTGGCTGATGAGCACTTGGAGAATATAGCTAGTGTGACTAAACTTTTTGTTTTCATTTAAATCAATTTAGAGGGATCCCTGGGTGGCGCAGCGGTTTAGCGCCTGCCTTTGGCCCAGGGCATGATCCTGGAGACCCGGGATCGAATCCCACGTCGGGCTCCCAGTGTATGGAGCCTGCTTCTCCCTCTGCCTATGTCTCTGCCTCTCTCTCTCTCACTGTGTGCCTATCATAAATAAATAAAACAAAAAAAATTTAAATCAATTTAGATAGCTTACTGTGACTATGGTTACTACTTTGGACAGCACAGCTCCAGATCTTCCTAAGTATAGGAATCCATAAGAATTTGTCCTCTTCTTTGTCTGCAATCTCTCCATTAATTAGTAACTAAAGTATATCTCATTGCTTCAGGTACCATTTCTCCAAAGATCATCAATATCTGAATATCTCCTGGTACGACTTAGCCATTTACCTCTAGCCCTGTAATTTCCTTCTATTTCGTGAGCATCTTTGCCTGGATGCCTCATTTGAAAAAAATATAACTCATCATCTTCCGTCCTCACTCCTTCCCTTTGTAAAATCCTCCCCCCGCCCCCACAATACCATGGTGACCTTACTGGTTACCCAATTTGAAAGCCTAGGCTCTTTGGTTCTTCCTCTTTTCCAACCCTACTAACTGAGCACAAGCAAATGTACCAACATATACATATGCAAACACAAAATCTGCTGTGAAGTCTATTTGATTCTTTTGTAATATCTTACAAATATTTTTCTTCCTTTTCATGTCCCCTGCCATCCTCCATTCAAATACATGAGAACACTTAAAAGTATGTCTGACACATAACAGATGCTGAATAAATAGTTGTTGCTTCCCTTTTTCCTCTTTTCTCTATTTCTTTATTTTTTCTGAATGCTGTATTAGATTCCTAGCTTCTAGTACCTCTCTTCTATGTGTCACTCTGCACTTAGATAATAGATTACTCTTTCCAAAGTACAACTCCCAATTTCATTCTTGAGCTCAAAAACTTTTAGACCTTCTCTACTTCCTGTGAGGTTAAATGTCTGTCCATCTCCACCTCCTCCCAAACACTACTTCTATTTCCTTGGTCCACATTCATAGTTCTTAACAGTGTTCAAAATGATTTATGTGACCTGTCACAGTACATAAACTCTATGAAGACAGGAACTTTGTTTGTCCTGTACTCCAGAGCCCCGAAGACAGTCAGTGTAATGGTTTAATTTTATGTGTTGACTCAGCAATGAGGTGCCCAGATATTTGGTCACACGTTATTCTGGGTGTGTCTGTGAGGCTGTTTTTGGATGAGATTAACATCTGAAACAATAGACTGAGTAAAGCAGATTGCTCTTCCTAATGTGAGTGGCCCTAATCAGTTGAAGGCTTAAAAAGAATAAAAAGGCTGACTTTCCCTCAGTAAGGGGGAGGTTCCACTGCTTGACAACCTTGAGCTGGGGCGTTGATTTTTTTTCTTGCCTTTGTAATTGAAGCACTGGCTCTTGGTTCTTGAGCTTGCCAGCTTTCAGACTAGAATTTGTACCATCATCTCTCTTGAGTCTCTCTCAGCTGCAGATCTTGGGACTTCTCAGCATGGACTAATTGTATGAGTTCATTCCTTATAGTAAATCTTATAAATATGTATATCCTAGTTTCTGGTTCTAGTCAGGACTCACGGTTCCAATAGTTTCTGGGGCATGCTAAGTAATATAGATTTGGGTACCATGAGTGGAGTGCTGCTATAAGAAATGCCTAAAAATGTAGAAGTGGCTTTGGAGTTGTGATGGGTATAGGCTGAGTTTTGAGTTATGTGCTAGAAAAAGCTGAGATTTCTGTGAAACCACTGTTGGTAGACATAGAACATAAAGACAATTCTGTTGAGGGCTCAGAAAGAAAAAATAAGAGATGGAGATGAAGTTTCCATTTTCTTCCACAAATACATAATTACGA